TAAGGTTCATAATATGGAGGCAAATTACCGCTAAAAATATTTATTTGGATAATTTAAAAAATTTATTATTTTTATTACAGCACAATAAATCGATATATAAAATTTTCAATTATTCTAATTAACCTAGGATAATAATTACAGGCAAATATTTTTTGTCCAGAACATTCTGTCATTCCACATCCAACTTCTTTTGTAGTGCCCCATACAACCTATTATAAGGAAAGTTTTTATTTTTTAAAATATTATTGTTTAAAATTTTGGTTACTATTTTCAAATTCGTGGTAAATATTTTTTTTATTTAAAAAGGATGCAAAACCGGGATCATTTAACCTAGGTTTATAGAGTCACAATGGAATTTGAAACTTTCTATCCACGATAATATTTATATCACCTATATAACATATTAAATCTTAAACAATCAAAAATAGAAGATAGATGTTAATGATTAAGAATTCTTATATACTTGCGTATAATGACCAACCGATGCAAAATTCCCCTTATCTACCCCGAAGGTAAAGCTGCTGACTTCATTATACCATGTTTTAACAGCATTCTTCCAATCAGAAGTTCCTGTTGTCGCGTATAAGTTTTGTCCTCCGGACGGATATTCTTTTATGAATAATATTTAAGCAAAATTCGATTTTATTAAAAAGTTATTAGATTTTAAACTGAATTGTCTTCTGGATGGATATTCTTGTTATTATTAATAATATTTTTTTTAAGCAAAATTGGATTTTTTTAAAAAAGTTATATTGGATTTTAAACTGAAACACTCATTTTTTAAAAAAAAATACTATATAAATACATTATATAAATATAAATAATAAAACTAGAGGTAGCTCTATCTTTATTGGTGTCATGACTAAAAACACATTTTTGAGTCAATACTTGTGCCTTCAAAGCTCCCTCATTATTCCATATCTAACATGTTATTACATGAATTTAAATGTATAACATTTTTAGTTTATCCTGATAGTATAGTTGAATAACTATGTTTATTACCAATTTATACATAGCGCTTGACGGGGGTTTTACAGTAGATCTATAGTCATTATGAGCCTTGAGTATATCTTGTATTTCTGTTGCGTTTGGAATTTTCGCTTATATCAACAAAATAATTATTTAATATAGCATACTTAATTTTATAAGGAAAATTTTGAATTAGAAGATAATAAAATAACTTGTCCACATTTATAAAATAATTTATTTTTATCTAGCTCAATACATAGCATATGTAAAATGTTATCGTCCGACATTAGCTAACCTTAAATAAATTCACTCGCGGTCTAACCATTTTATGTATTTCCCATTAAATCTTTAAATATTATTCTAAACTTAGGATTATTAAGTATTTTTATTTTAAATTAAACGAGATATTAATAAAATATAATAACACAAAATGTTTTAAAATCAAATATTTACCTGTTGTAACTGTCATTAAGACCAAAGTGCATAATATAGTTAATAACATCTTTCTCGGTTACTACACAATTTAATTAATTTATCTTTTTGAGAAAAATTAAAATGAAATTTAGAGTTGTAAAATAAATTAAAATAAAAAGTATAGGTATAATAAAATAAAATTAGGACGAATGGGTTCTTATTAATTAAAATATCTTGAAATTTAATTTATATTTGAAAATTAATTTAAATATTGAAATTAAATTTTGAATTATAAATATTATTTTAAAATCAAATATAATATTTTTATAAGAGTTTTATCAAGATAAAAAATATTTTTTAAATTTGTAAGAAAAAAATATATATTATATTGCCAACTTGAGATATGTAAATATGTAACGCTGTAATTGGATTATTTTTGGGTTAAAACCCACTTTTTTAGAAAATATAACTAAATATAATTTACATAGGCAAATTACATAACTAATACTATTTCTAATTTGGAAGTAATGGTAGGTATTACATACCTTTTTAAATAACATATACTAGATAAAATTTAAATTGGCAAATTACATAACTTATACCATTCTTAATTTGGAAGTAATGATAAGTATTACATACCTTTTTAAATAACATATACTAGATGAAATTTAAATTGGCAAATTACATAACTTATACCATTCCTAATTTGAGTAATGATAAGTATTACATACCTTTTTAAATAACATATACTAGATGAAATTTAAATTGGCAAATACATAACATTTAAATTATTTCTAATATTTGGAGTAATATCAAATATTTTTTCAACTTCTACTAAAGGCGAACAGAGATATTTTTTAAACAGAAATAAATTCAGAAATAATCTTTATGTTATAATTCAGAATCTTGAAAGTCATAAAATTAATTGATATTAAAAAGAAGAGATAAATTAAGCCGATTATTAGTTCTAAATCGTTATAACTAAATTTATTAAAATTTTAGAATTTAATTATAAAATTACGCCGAAAATATAATTTTTTTTAAAATTTCTCGATCACTATACCAGGATTCTCGACAAATACTGCAGATAGAAATCTTTTATTAAAATTACAATTTTCAACAACTATAATTAATAAAAATATAAATGAAACAAAATCTAAATAGAAATCAGTTAATAAGGCAAGAAATTAGATTTAATGACCTAATTGCAAGTCTTTAGCGAAATTAAAATATTTCTTTTGGGTCAATGTTTTGACCGATTTTCGCCTTTCTAATTTTTTTATGTCTTGTGCTTTAGAACCAAATGTTGTAAGAGAATCATGATGACTGTAACGAAAGGATACTGATCAGATATATTATTCATATTTCAATTTTTTATAGGTGTTGTTGGAGCCAAAGGGTTGATGTAAGAAAAGTCCCAATCTAGGAACTTACCATCTTCCCAAAGTTAGTCGGTCTTCGATCATTTAGAAACAAACCGATTGTTTTTGTTATGGAAGTAATCTCAACTAATTTTTAAGCACACTTTAACAAGCGAGATGCAATGTAAGCCAGGAAGCTCGCCCGATACTTCTAAGGCATACAATGTTTGACCGAATCAGTATAAGTTACATCATACTTTCTTCAGATATAATTAATTCTAATAATATTTTAATCAAATTGTTTCCTTATTTCAAAGGAATATATCTTATATGTTAATTTATAGTAGAAAGTCTCTATACGTCATATTTTTTTATGTATATTTTTCTAATTTATAAAAATTTATACATGTGGAATGATCGGTAATCAATCCACTTAATTATCGTTTTTTAACTATGAAATTTCATGTTAATAAAAAAATAAGTAACTGAAAATATAGAAGGAATCTAATCCTTACAACAAAAACTTGTAGAATATAAGTTTTAAAGATGTCAAATAAAAATTAGACTTATGTTCTATAATATTAAATTAGACATTTAGTTTCTAATCTTATAATAAAAGTAGGAAGCAGAATATCAGCCAAAATGCTACTTTTAAAACCAATTTTCTTTGTTTTATATATAAATATATTTTAGTATTATGCCTCATCGCATGATTTAAACATTATATTTATACTTTTATTTTATCGTGTTACAATTTACATTTTATTTATTTTATCACTAACTTAAATTCAGTTTTGAATAGAGAATATTTTTTGTTTTATAATTTTTTCGTTTTGCGTAAAATTAAATGATTAATTATTTACTTATTATTTTTATATTGAGGGATTGTGATATATAAAAGCAAATATGTTAATGCATATAAATATATATATACTATTTGAAATGTGATTTAATAAAGCTATAGTTATATATTTAAAATATGACTTGATGATAATTATAGAATGTATCAAATACATAATTTTTAAGATAAATCTGTTCTGTAAATATCCAAACATTTAACGTTATTATCTATATATTTGTTTTAATGAAGATATTTAATAAAATATTAATCACAAAAAAGCAATATTATTTATATAGCAAAACATATATTTAGGGAGGATTAATATTCATTTATAAATAACAACCAAATTTATTGTATAATAATCTTTTGACCATTAAATAAAATAAATTTTATGAATTTATTCCTGATTTTATAAATGTTCTCTCGTTATAGTTTATCATAGAATAGTTTTTAAGAAGTAAAGTTGATTAAATGTGAATTTACTAAATAAAAACATTTTTATTGTTCCTGTGAAGAGATTTAAAATAGATTTGATTATAATTAAATAAAATAATTATTGCATAGTTAATAAAAGTATACTAAATATATGAACTAATCAAAATAAAAGTAAATTTTAGATTACAAATTTAAAATTATAGATAAATCATTCCTGAATTAAATGGGCTCGGCTTAATATTTTAAAATAGTGTTTCTGGTTATGTTTCTTAAGTTGTTTTATTAATCCAGGTTATTGTTACCGTTAATTTCCCCGGTTCTAAGACCTTATCAAACTCTTGATTTATCTAATATAAGTAAGGATCAATCAATTTCTTATTCATCAACCACTTTTAAACAAGAGATTTGACAGTCATATTTCATTATTACTAATTTCCCTAATGCCGAGATCTAAGTGGTTATGAGCAAAATAACTTAATTCGAGGTAGCGTGGCTGATTATATTCAACTTTAGGTATTTTAAAATGTTTCTAATATGTTATAAAATATATGTCAAAATAAAAGAAATAGACTTAAATATTTTTATTCTTTTTTTCAGGAATTATGAGGTGTGGTATATGAAAATTAGACATGTAGAATATTTTGCCTTAAGAGATTTCAATTTTTAAGCATTATAATATCAATAAATATTCTATCCTATTATTATTTTTATACCATATTTTAAATAACATTTTACTAAAATGATGTATTCTTTTACTATTTATTCAATAAAAAACATATATATATCAATAACTAAAATCACAAAATGTTTTATTTTCTACCCCAATATATATCATAATCTAAAATGGCAAAAAGTAAAAATATAAATAAATATAACAATATATATTATTCCCTTTTGATTTTTATTTATAAATAATTATTTCTTATAGAAACTAATAATTTCCTTATATGGCAAAAATTGCTTTAATTATTCCTTTTTCTCTAGGACTTGCACTCAGGCAAACAGGATTTGGCACATTTGTCTTTGAAACTCGAACAAGCACCTTGTTTTGCTAAGTCATCGCAATTGCTATACGCGTTTACACAAAATAGGTCTAATTTTTTTTAATATTAAATGTTTGAAATTGTAATAAATGAGATTCACTTCTATTTAGGTTATTCGTTTCAAAAGTTTCAATTATTTTCCTTTTTGGCGGAAAAAAAAAATATCATATTATACCTATTTAAATAGAATTCATAGATGTATATTTAATAATAACAGGAACCTGTAATTAATATAAGAATATTAATTATAAGTTCTATTCTAGTTATATTTATGCTATGTTTCTTATATAGAATTTGAATATGCAAACATGTACCTGTAGTTAAAAGGCTCAATATTTAAAAACGGCTAACTGAATAATTTAGCCAAAGAGAATTATTAAGCAAGCCTGGAAATTTTGTTTATAGATGCTGGATAGGTTTGGGCATCTATTAATGAACTCTCAAGATTTGCATACTCATTATTATGACTAACATCGTAATTTAAGATCGGTTAAGTCGAACCATTTAATAACCAATACCACACAGGAACAATTTTTAGACAGACTCTTAAACTCGAGTGGGTTTTGTTCAATTTTGTAAAACTGATATACCGATTTAATTTTTTGATAAATTTTTTATGATGCCACAACAATTGAATATTTTTGAACCCTTAATCTAAATTCACAGAACCCTGAAAAATTGTTTTTTTTAAGAATAACTGTTACCGCATGATTCTAATAATTTCCCAGCATACACACCACTTGAACACACACCACCTTTTATGCAACCCTTGCACGATTGAACAGCTGATTTTTCATAAGGTACATAATATGGAGGCAAATTACCGCTAAATATATTTAAATGGATAATTATAAAAATTTATTATTCATCTTTCATCAAAATAAATAGATCTCTAGAATATTCAATTATTATATTTATAATTATAACCTCGGATAATAATTGCAGGCATATATTTTTTGCCCAGAACATTCTGTCATTCCGCATCCAACTTCTTTTGTAGTGCCCCATACAACCTATTATCAAGGAGGTTTTTATTTTTAAAAATATAATTGTAATAACTTTTGATATTTATTATTGGTAGGAAATTTTTAATATTTTTTTTATTTAAAAAGGATGCAAAATCGTGGTGGGGTTATTTATAGATACACAAAGGATGAAATATCCGTTTACGATAATATTTATATCATCTATATAACATATTAAATTTTAAGCAATCAATAAAAGAAGATGAATGTTAATGATTTTTATATACTTGCGAATAATGACCAACCGATGCAAAATTTCCCTTATCTACCCCGAAAGTAAAGCTGCTGACTTCATTATACCATGCTTTAACAGCATTCTTCCAATCAGAAGTTCCTGTTGTCGCGTATAAGTTTTGGCCTCCGGAAGGATATTCTTATTATTATTAATATTTTTTTTATAAGCAAAATTGGATTTTAAAAAAAAATTAAAATTAAATATAAAAAGGAAACACTCTTTTTTTAAAAAAAATACTATATAAATACATTATATATATATTTGGAAATAATAAAACTAGAGGTAGCTCTATCTTTATTGGTGTCATGACTGAAAACACATTTTTGAGTCAATGCTTGTGCCTTCAAAGCTCCCTCATTATTCCATATCTAATATGTTAGGATTTTAAATATATAACATTTATAGTTGAATAATTATGTTTATTACCAATTTATACATAGCGCTTGATGGGGGATTGACACTAGATCTATAGTCATTATGAGCCTTGAGTATATCTTCTATTTCTGTTACGTTCGGAATTTTAGCTTATATAACAAAATAATTATTTAATAAAGCATAATTAATTTTATAAAATTTGAATTAGATGATAATAAAATAACTTATCCATATTTATAAAATAATTTTGTTTTATCTAGCTCAATACATAGCAAATGTTAAATGTTATCGTCCGACATTAGCTAACCTTAAAAAAATTCACTCGAGGTCTAACTATTTTATGTATTTTCCATTAAATCATTAAATATTGTTCTAAACTTAGGATTATTAACTATTTTTATTTTAAATAAAAGGAGATATAAAGGGAATATAATATCACAAAATGTTTTAAAATCAAATATTTACCTGTGGTAATTCTCATTAAGACCAATGTGCATATTATAGTTAAATACATCTAACGCGGATACCTAAACAATTTAATTAATTTATCTTTTTAGAAAAATTAAATTTGATTTTAAAAGGGTATAACAAAATTCTAAAATTAAAATACCTTGAAATTTAATTTATATTTGAAATTTAATTTGAATATAGAAATTTAATTTTAAATTTGAAATATAATTTTAAATTCGAATATAATTTTTATAAGAGTTTAAATTTTTTTTACATTTATAAAAATAAATATATTGCCAACTTGAGATATGTAAATATGTAACGTCTGTAATTGGATAATTTTTGGTTTAAACCCATTTTTTTAGAATATATAACTAAATATAATTTACATTGGCAAATTACATAACTAATACAATTCCTAATTTGGAAGTAATGGTAGATATTACATACCTTTTTAAATAACATATACTAGATAAAATTTAAATTGGCAAATTACATAACTAATACTATTCCTAATTTGGAAGTAATGGTAGGTACAACATACCTTTTTAAATAACATATACTAGATAAAAATTAAATTGGCAAATTATTTTAACATTATTAAATTTTGGAAGTAATATCATATTATTTTATTAACTTCTACTAAGAGCTGAGATATTTTAAAATAAATTCAGAAATAATCTTTATGTTATAATTCGGAACTGAAACATAAAATTAATTGATATTAAAAAGCTGATATAAATTAAACCGATTATTAGTTCTAAATCGTTATAACTAAATTTATTAAAATGTTAGAATTTAAATATAAAATTACGCTAAAAACATTTTTTTTTAAATTCCCCCCATTACGATTTCAGGAATATCCTTCTTTCGGACTTTTATTAAAGTTACAATTTTCAAAAACTATAATAAATAAAATAATTTTTAAAATATAAATGAAACAAAATTAAAATGGATTTGATTTTGTTTTGACCGATTTTTGTCTTTCAAAATTTTCCATGTCTTGGGGGTTAGGACCAAAGGTTATAGTAATCTTGATGATTAGAAGGAAAGAATACTGATCAGACACGTCCATGCATTTGTCACATTTCAATTGAAAGTGATTAAGCCTAAGGGTTAATGTAATTAAGTCCCGATCTAGGAACTCGTCATCTTCCCAAAGTTAGTCGGTCTTCGATTTTCAAGAAACAAACCGATTGGTTTTGTCATGGAAGGAATCCGAGCTGTATTTTAACCACGCTTTTGGAAAGTGTGCCGAGAAGCTGGCTCCTTACGAAGGCATACAATGTCTGATCGAATCAGTATATTTATAACATGATTATAATAATATTATTTTTTTTTAATGTATTGTTTCCTTATTACTTTAATATCTTATATATATATAGAAACTTTCTAAACGTCATATTTTCTCATATATTTTTCTAATTTATAAAATTGTTATATGGAATGGTCAATAGTTAACCCAATTAATTAACGTTTTTTAACTTTGTAATTTTTTTATTAATTTGTATAACAATATATTATACATATATATATTATTTATTTAATGATATTGACAACATAAGTTTACACCAAGTATTTCCATAGGTTTTACACAAATTCTAATTTAATTTGATTAATAGTTTTTGTTTAGAGACAATATATCTTTTCAGATATGTTTTTAAAATTAATAGATAATTGTTAAAATATAATAAATTAGATTTTTTTTAACATAAAAATTAAATAAATATCTCATGTGGCACCTATTACGAATTTAATATTTTTCTTTTCCGATAATAACTTTGCTACTTTGGAAATGATTGTTATTTTAAAAACTAAGAAATCTAAAAAGAAAATATTTTGCCCTTTCAAAAGTAAATATAATACATTTCTATTACAAATTGTTAGATATGAGTGGCAGGATAGGTACATTATAAGTTAATAATAAATACAGCCAAGTCGACATATAGCGATTTTGTAAACAACATCCTAATTTGCTAAGTAACTATAAATTATCTAAAATATCCATTTAGAAAAATATTAGTTGATGAAATCACGTGGTCGCCTCTAATCTTTTATATTAACCCCCCCCCCTCCCAGGACGGACCCACCAATAGTAATTTTTAACGAATTATATAAAGTATTTATCGATGTAAGGACAAATTTGTTATTTACCAGCCACTTTTTAGCAAGCTATTTGACAGGCATAATTTTGTTATTAATAATTTCATTATGTACAAAATAAATATAGAGATTGACTCTTAGTATATTCAACTTTAGGTATTTTAAAATGCTAATATCTTGTCATATATATATCGAAATAAAATATCTAGCTTTAAATATTTCTATTCCTTTTTTCAGGAATTATGAGGTGTGTTATATGACAACTAAACATGTAGAATATTGTGCCTCAAGAGATTTCATTTTTTAAGCACTATTATATCATGAAATATTCTATTCTACCATTTATTGTCATATCATAATTTAAATAACATTTTACTAAAAGGATGTATTCTTTTACTATTTATATTCAATAAAAGACATAAATATCAATAAATAAAATCACCAAATATTTTATTTTCATAACCCAAATACCCTAAAAAACAATCTAAAATGGCAAAGAGTGAAAATATAAATATATAACAATATATTTTATTCCCTTTTAATATTTATGCATAAATAATTATTTCTTATAGGCTAATAATTTTCTTGTATTATGAAAAAAATTGTTCTAATTATTCGTTTTTCTCTAGGACTTGCACTCAACTAAACAGGATTTGGCACAATTGTCTTTGAAACTTGAGCAAGCACCTTGTTTTGCTAAATCATCGCAGTTGCTATACTCGTTTACACAAAATAGCTCTATTTGTTTTTTTTAATATTTAAAACATTTAAATTGTAATATCAAGTTAAGATATCTACCGGTTATATAATAGCAATACATTTCTATTTAGGTTATTCGTCTAAAAAGTTACAATTATTTTCTTTTTGGTGGACAAAAATATATATCAGATTATATTGGATAGAATTCATATATATATATATTTTAAAAAAATCTTAGAACCTGTAATTAATCTGGAAGTTCCATTTCTAGTCATTTACTAAATTTACTATAGAGATCTGAATATGCAAACATGTAAGTTTTGTTAAAAGGCTCAAATTTTAAAATGGCCAACCAAATATTTTAACCAAAAGGAATTATTACGCATATAGATACCAAAAAGGTTTAGGCATCTATTAACGAACTCTCAAGATTTACATAATCATTATTTTGGCTAACATTGTAATTTAAAATCGGTTAATTCGAACCATTTAATAAGCAATACCATATAGGGATAATTTTTAGACAGACACTAAAACTCGTGGGTTATGTTCAATTTTGTAAAACTGATATACCGATTTTATTTTTTGATAAAATTTTTATGATGCCAAAACCTTTTTAATAAAATAATTGTTTAAAGAAAAACTGTTACCGCATGATTCTAGTAATTTCCCAGCGTATACATTCTTCGCACAAACACCACCTTTTATGCAACCCTTGCATGATTGAACAGCTGATTTTTCATAAGGTACATAATATGGAGGTGAATTGCCGCTAAAAATATTTATATGTATAATTATAAAAATTTATTATTCATGTTTCAGCACAATAAATAGATCTATAGAATTTTAAATTATTACTATTATAACCTCGGATAATAATTGCAAGCATATATTTTTTGCCCAGAACATTCTGTCATTCCGCATCCAACTTCTTTTGTAGTGCCCCATACAACCTATTATAAGGAAAGTTTTTATTTTTTAAAATATTATTGTTTAAAATTTTGGTATTTATTATTTTAAATTGGTGGCAAATATATTTTTTTTATTTTTTTTTATTTAGCAAAATCGGTATTATTTAACCTAGGTAGAATACATTTTTATTATTAAATACATGTTATGTGCTTATTGGTTCGTTTTGGACCCAGTCTCCCCCTATATTGAATATTATTAAATTGTAAAAATGAAAATCTATTTTCAAAAAACCATATGAGGGTAAAATAGAGCTCCAAGAAAGGTTGCAAAATGAAATTTGAAAGTTTCTATCCGTTATCAATAATATTTATATCATATAATATAACACATAAATTAATAATCACTAAACCCTAAAATAAATTTTAATAAATAAAAAAAGGAAGATGGATGTTAATGAGTAAGTATTCTTATATACTTGAGTATAATGACCAACCGATGCAAAATTCCCTTTATCTACCCCAAAAGTAAAGCTGCTGACTTCATTATACCACGCTTTAACAACATTCTTCCAATCAGAAGTTCCTGTTGTCGCGTATAAGTTTTGGCCTCCGGAAGGATATTCTTGATATTATGAACAATATTGTTTTTGTACTCAAAATTAGATTTTTAGAATTAAAATTTTTTTTATCCATCGAAGGAACAAGATTTAAAACCAAAACTCTTTGATTGCTTGGTGAAAAATATTTTTTTATAAATATATATTTTTTAAAAAACATTGTATATATATATTAATATTTTAACTAGAGGTTGTTCTATCTTTATTAGTGTCATGACCGAAAACGCATTTTTGAGTCAATGCTTCCGCCTTCAAAGCTCCCTCACTATTCCATATCTAATATGTTAAAGCATTATTTTAAATATATATTATTTTTAGTTTATCATAATAATATAGTCGAAAAATTATATTTATTACCAATTTATACATAGCGCTTGATGGGGGATTGACACTAGATCTATAGTCATTATGAGCCTTGAGTATATCTTCTATTTCTATCGCGCTCGGAATTTTCGCTTATGGCGGCAATTATTATAAATAGTATACTTATTTTTATTAAGAAAAGTATGAATTGGATAATAAAATAATTTGCCTAACTATAATTATAAATAATATCTTTTTTATCCAGCTCAATACATCGCAAATTTAAATTGTGATCTACCCTGACACTGGTCTACCTTATCATAAAATATTCGGAAATGAAATAAACTTACCTGTAATAACTGTCATTAAGACCAAAGTACACATTATAGTTAAAAACA